TATTTACCCAAGAGTGGTTCAGGAGTCACTTGTCTAAGTTCTATATAATCGTATGATTTTGAGCAATTTCCTTTGCCTTGATTTCTATTTTTATTGCATTGTGGTCCAAGAGTGTGGTTGGTTTGATTGCTGTATTTTTTTTTTTTGAGTTTGCTGAGGGTTGTCTTATGTCCAATTGCATGGTTGATTTTAAAGTATGTATCATGTGGCAATGAAAAGAATGTATACTCTGTTGTCTTTTGGTAGAGAGTTCTGTAAATGTGTTTTAGGTCCATTTGGTCAAGTGTTGAGTTCAAGTCCTGAATTTTTTTGTGATTTTTTTAACCTCAATGATTTTTTTTCATATCGGCAGTGGGGTGTTGAAGTCTCCCACTATTATTGGGTGTGAAACAAAGTCTCTTCATAGGTCTCAAGGAACTTGCTTTATGAGTGTGAATGCACCTGTGTTGAGTGCATGTAGATTTAGGATAGTTAGATCTTCTTGTTAAATTGGACCCTTTACCATTATATAATGCCTTTCTTTGTCCTTTTTGATCTTTGTTGATTTGAAATCTGTTTTCTCTGAAATTAGAATTGCAACCTCTGCTTTTTTTTTTCTGTTTTTCATTTTCTTGGTAGATTTTTCTCCATCCTTTATTTTGAGCCTATGGGTGTCATTGTATGGAAGATGGATCTCTTGAAAACAGCATACCATTGGGCCTTTCTTCTTTATCCAGCCTGCCTGTGCCTTTTAGTTGAGGAATTTAGCCCATTTCCATTCAAGGTTGATATTGTTATGTGTGAATTTTCTCCTGTCATTATGTTAGCTAGTTATTATATAGACTTGTTTTTGTGGTTGCTTTTTGTTGTCACTGGTCTATGTACTTAAATGTGTTCTTGAAGTGGCTTGTAATGATCTTTCCTTTTGATTTGTAGTGTTTCCTTCAGGAGCTCTTGTAAGGCAGGTCTGGTGATAACAAATTTCCTAAGCCTTTGCTTTTCTGGAAAGGATCTTTTTCTTGTTTGCATATAAAGCTTAGTTTTGCTGGATATGAAAATTTTGACTGACATTTCTTTTCTTTAAGAATGTTGAATATTGGCTCCCAATTTTCTTCTGGCTTGTAGGGTTCCTGCTGAGAGGTCCACTGTTAGTCTGATGGGCTTCTCTTTGTATGTGACCTGACCTTTCTCTCTAGCTGCCTTTAACATTTTTTCCTTCATCTTGACCTTGGAGAATCTCATGGGTATGTGTCTTGATGATGATCTTCTTGTGAATTATCTTGTGTGGGATCTCTGCATTTCCTGAATTTGAATATTGGCCTCCCTAGCTAAGTTGGGAAAGTTCTCATGGATGATATCTTGAAATATAATTTCCCAGTTGCTTCCATTCTCTTCATCTCAGGGACACCGATGGGTTATGGATTTGGTCTCTTTACATAATCTCGTATTTCTCATAAGTTTTGTTCATTCATTTTCATTCTTTTTTCTTTATTCTTTTCTGACTATCTTATTTCAGAAAGGCAGTCTTCAAGCTCTGATTCTTTCTTCCTCTTGGTCCATTCTGCTATTAATTCTTGTGATTGCATTATGAAATTCTTGTAGCGTGTGTTTTCAGCTCTATCAGATTAGTTATATTGTTTTTTATGCTGGCTATTTTGCCTGTCAGTTTCTGTAACATTCCAGTCCACATTTCTTTCTTTTTTCTTTTTTTTTTATTATTACTATACTTTAAGTTCTAGGGTACATGTGCATAACGTGCAGGTTTGTTACATATGTATACTTGTGCCATGTTGCTGTGCTGCACCCATCAACTCGTCAACACCCAACAACTTGTCATTTACATCAGGTATAACTCCCAATGCAATCCCTCCCCCCTCCCACCTCCACATGTCCACATTTCTAATGTTGTTTCTGTAATTTCAGCCATCTCGGCCTGGTTCAGAAACCTTGCTAGAAGGCTACTGTGATAATTTGTAGGAAAGAAAGCACTCTGGCTTTTTGAGCTGTCAGGTTTCTTGTGCTGGTTCTTTCTCATCTTTATGGGCTGATGTTCCTTTATTCTTTGAGGTTGCTGTCCTGTGGATGAATTGTTTTTCTCTTATCCTATTTGATTACCTTGATAGTTTGTGGTATTTGGTGGGTACAGTCAACTTGCTTTGTTTCTGAAGATATTAGGGGGCAGGGCTCACTCTGATGGGTGGCAGCAGCCAAAGAATTTCATGGGGTTGTGGCAGTGAGATCTGTTCTTGTTCACATGTCCTAGCAGCAGTGGCAGCAGCAACATGCTTGTTGGCTACCACAGGGCATTAGCAGGTGCCAGGGTGCAGGCCTCCATATGGGTGTTTGCAGAGGCAGAGGAGGTAGCATGGCTTGGGGACTGGGGGGACCCCTACTTGTTATAGTGCACCTCGTCATGCCAGTGTTGTTGTCAGCACAGAGGTGGGGTGTTGGCAGAAGCAATACTGTGTGTGCCCCCTGTGCACATTCACACAGGTAGAGGTGGCCTCTCAGGGTGGCAGAGTGTCATTTGTTTTCTAAGCCTAGTTTTACTCCAGTGGCAGTGTTAGCCCAGAGGCAAGATGCTGATAGGAGTGGTGCTAACAGGCTCTGTGCCTGCAAAGACTCTGACTGCAATGGCCATATGGTTGGGGGATGGGAGGAATAATGCAATCACACTGGCAGCAGTGGCAGTGCAAGGTATACGTACACAAACACACACATACACACACACACATGCGCACACACACACACACACACACACACAATGGTGGGACAGAGAAAGCAAAGTCTGTCCATGCACATGCATAGTGGCAAAGCAATGGCAAGGGGGGAGGTGTCCATGCTCTCGTGGGAAGCTGCAGTGGAGTGTGGGAGGGGACAGGCTGTTATGTGTTGGTGGGGGTCACTCTGCTGGAACTCTTTTCTGGTCAGGCATGGTTCACCAGTGCAAGAGCTACAATGTAGGCCCCCAGGGCCCCTGAAGTCACACTGCAAGCAAGTCCAGCCAGGCTGAGGCCCTGGGAGAGGCCAGCAGACCAAGGGGTGTTCAGATTGGACCAGTTTTGTGTAATGGGCAAGAAAATTCTATAGAGTTCAGGTATGGACAGTCCCCCTAGGACTAAAGTTTCCTATGGAAGCAAGTTGAGCCTAGGAAGATGGCCATCCCTGGCTGCACTTCACTATAGACATTCCCACATCAAACCCTCTGGGCTCTACACCAGCTGGAGTGCTGCCCCTACCACTTCTCTAATGGCTTTCCCTGTCAACTCAAGTGTCCATGGTGGGAGGGAGTCTCCTCCTGCCAGAATTCCAGAAGCCCATTTTAGAGCATGTTGCTTCTTGCCAGTTCAACTCACCCATTCTCCCAGAGTTGTCAGAGGCCAAGAACAAGTCCTGCTGCACTGTTGCCCTGTGCAGGGTTTCCAGCTTCCTCCTCCTTCAGCCAAGCTTCTGGTCTTTCCTCCATCCACTCTTAGTGCCATACCTCTGAAGATCTGTTAGGAGTGCACCAGTTGTCCCAGTCCCTCAGTGGCAGCTGGTTCACCTGGATGCATCTAGTCAGCCATCTTGCCTAGCTTCTACAGTATTATAATATTTTGTTTTGTCCATATGTTTACTTTTAGCAGTGGAGGTTATACTTTCATTTGTCTTTGTGCTGTTTTCTATTATCCTTTCATATCAGCTTCAAAGGACTCACTGTAGCATTTTTTCATAAGGCACATCTAGTGGTGATGAACTCTCTCTGCTTTTGTTTATATGGGAAATCATTTCTCTTTCTATTTAGAAAGACAGTTTTTCTGGATATAATATTGTTAGTTAATAGGTTTTTTTTATTACTTCAAATCTATCACATCATTCTTTTCTAACCTGCAAGGTTTCTGCTGATAAATCTACTGATAGTTTTATGGGACTCTCTTATATGTCATGAGTCACTTCTTCTTTAAAAATTTTCTCTTTGTCTTTGACATTTGACAATTTAGCCATAATGTTGTCAGTTTGAAGTCCTTTGGTTTCCTATTAGTTGGGTTCTGTTGGGCTTCTTGAGTCTAGATGTCCATATTGTTTCCCAGATTGTGGATATTTAGGCCATTGTTTCTTTAAATAAATGTTTGTCCCTTTATGTCTCTTCTTTTTCTTTTAATATCATAATGCATATATTGATCCACTTGATTGTGTCCCATAAGTCCTTTTAGACTTTCTGCACTTCTTTTTTATTATTTTTGTTTCTCTGACTAATAATTTCAAATTACCTGTATTCAAGTTTGTGGCTTCCTTCTTCTGGTTGATCAAGTGTGATGTTCAAACTGTCTAGTGAATTTTTCAGTTCACTTATTGTATTCTTTAGCTCGTAATTTTCTGTTGGGCTCCTTTTATGTTTTCAGTTGATTTGTTATTTTCATTTTATTTATGTATCATATTCTGAGCTTGTTGAGCATCTTTATGATGGATATTTGAATTGTTTGTCAAATAATTCATATATCTCCTTTACTTTAGGGTCAGTTCCTGGCGACTTATTTTGTTGTTTTGCCTTTGTGCCGTGTTTTCTTGTTTCCTTGTTTGCTTTGTACCTTTATGTTGGATCCATGCATTTAAGAAAATTACCACCTCTCCAAATCTTTATAGGCTGGCTTTGTGCAAGGAAAGACCTTCACAAATCAGCCTAATTAGAGGGTCCTTTCAGACATTTTATGTGTATATTTCATCTCTGGACTTGTATATGCAAATTTTTAATTAAAGAGATTTATTAGTTCACATCTCCCTTTAGTTCTTAGTTTCCCCCAGGCTTCTAGAGTGTACTGAACCATATCAGTGCTTTTTATCTAGTAAAATAAATTAAAGTCTGTTTTAAAGTAAAACAAGTTTCTTGGTCAGACCCCAAAAAGCTATAATGTTGAACACACACTTTACTCTTCTGTCTCCCCTCCCTGAAGGAGAAGCCTTTGAGCTGTGTTAACATCTGTCTTCTCTACTGCATGTCCTGTGGAATAGCAGCAAATCACTTACATCTCTTTTGTTTTCAGCATCCCCCAGACATCTAGAGTATGCCAGCCCTGTCCACCTTCTCAGAGCGATGAGACAGAAACCCATTTCTCGAGCAGTCCCCCCAAAAAGACAGAATGTGCGACGCATGCCACAACTTTTTCCCTTCCTAGAGAGAAGCTGAGAGTTGGGAGTTTCACCCTCTCGTTCTATGCTGAGCTGGGAGGAGGGAGTATGGTGAGTGAGTGCTTTTTGTCTAAACTTTTGCCCTTGTTCTCAGTAGCCTTCAACCTAGCACACTTTTTCACGAGTCTCCAGATACAGGGAAGACAGAAATTATTTCCTCAGCCTTCCCCTGAAAAAGTCTTCATATTGGACATATGTTTCAGCCTCCTTCTTTTTCTCTCTAGGAAGAAGCCAAGAATTGGGAGTTTTCTGCTGATCATGCTATACTGAGCTGGGCAGAGAGACCATGGCGAGTGAGTACCATTAATTTTCCTACCAGCTTCAGTGTGGCTGGTTTTAGCTTGTCTGTGATGCAGGAGCCTTTTAACTAGTTTCTGGATTTCTCTTGAAGGGAATTGATCTGTGTATTTTTGCTTGTTGAATTGGTGTCTCCTTTGGGGGAAGAAGTTTTCTGACTTTCTATTTTGCCATATTCCTGACATCACCAGTCTCTATTTTATTATTTGTTTTCTTTTTGTTACTTTTGTTTCTTCTTCTCTTTTTTTCCTTCCTTCCTTCCTTCCTTCCTTCCTTCCTTCCTTCCTTCCTTCCTTCCTCCTTTCTTCCTTTCCTCCTTTCCTCCTCTCCTCCTTCCTTCCCTTCCTTCTTTCCTTCCTTCCTTCCTTCCTTCTTTCCTTCCTTCCTTCTCTTTTCTTTTCTTCTCTTCTCTTCTCTTCTCTTCTCTTCTCTTCTCTTCTCTTTCTTTTCTTTCTTTCTTTCTTTCTTTCTTTCTTTCTTTCTTTCTTTCTTTCTTTCTTTCTTTCTCTTTCTTTCTTTCTCTTTCTTTCTTTTCTTTCTTTTCTTTCTTTCTTCTCTCTCTTTTTTCAGGGTCTTGCTCTGTCACCTAGGCTGCTGGAGTGCAGTGGCGTGATCAGAGCTCACTGCAGCCTTGAACTCCTGGCCTCATGTGGCCCTGTAGCTAAGACTACAGGCATGTGCCACCATGCCTGGCTGATTTTTGTTTCATTTTTGTAGGTATCAGGTCTCAACATGTTGCCCAGGCTGGTCTCAAACTCCTGGCCTCAAGCAATTCTTCCACCTCAATCTTCCAAAGGACTGGGATTACAGGAATGAGCCACCATGCCTGGCTTGTTACCCCTGTTTCTTGTTATTATTTAACTACTATTTCAGCCCCACATTCTTTCTCATCTCCTACTGGGATTCTGATAACAACAGACAGTGGTCCTGTCTTTTGTTATTGTTCCACAGATCCCTGAGACTCTCTTCTTTTTGTTTCTTTTTCATGATACTTTCTCTTTGTTTGGATTGAATAAGTTTTGTTGATATGTCTTTAACTTCACTGATTCTGTTCCTCACCTCTAATCTAGTATTGAGTCCATCTGATGAGTTTTAAATTTTATTTTGGCTATTTGTATTTTTTAGTTTTATAATTTACATTTGGTTCTTTTTAAAAAATAAATAACTCCTTTATCTTTGTTGAGATATTCTGTTTGCATTTGTTTAAAGATATTTTTAATTACTTGTTGAAGCATTTTTATGAGAGCGGTTTTAATTTTCTTATCAGTTGACTCCAACTTCAGAATAATATTGGTATTAATATCAGTTAATTATGTTTTCTCAGTCAAATTGTAGTTTTCCTTGTTCTTTGCATAAGAAATGATTTTCCATTTTATCACAGATATTTTGGTTACTATTTTAGGAATTTCTTGATTCTTAAATCTATTTAGCAAGCAGTGATCCTGTTTAGGTTTAGAATATAGGTTCTGACCTATTTTTGTGGGTTTTAGGTCTAATGACAATTTAGTTTTCAGAACCATTCTGATGTATTTTGTCTTTCTGATGGTGCTTCAGTTTCCATTTATTCCCTATTAGTGCCATCTGCCATGGCACAAAGCACTCTGCTGGGCCACCTGGCGTCATTGAGCCACGTTATCCTGTAGGGGTTGAGTCAGAAGCTATGGGGACTGAGTCTTCTTGTGCCTATTAATAGAGGACTAAGAGATGATGGTGCCCTGGGTTTGGAATGGAAATTGGGTGGACCAGCCCTTCTCTGCTTCCACTGCAGGTAGACCAGCCTGCAAGCACTGCAGGTGTTTAGCCTGCAAGCACTACAGGTGTTGAGCACTACAGGTGTTGGGTTGGACTGCTGGAGCTTCACTGCTACTCCTGTGAGCTGTCAGTGTCCTAGTTGTGTATCAGGAGTTAAGATGGCCCATCAGGGTTCTGAAACTACTTATGTGGGCAGATCAGTTCACCTGCTGATGACCTCGTTGTGGGTGGAAGCTGGATTTTCCAGGAGCTTTGCAGCTGCCTCTCTGTGCAAATCAGGTTATTCTCAGGTACTTTGGTTGTAGAACAGGAGTTGGGGCTGTCCGCTAGGTCTCTGTTGGGCTTTTTATCAGAACATAGATCAGAGAAAGCAAGGTTAAGTTTGTTTTTGTTTTTGTTTTTGTTGTTTATGCCTGTTGGCAGTTCTGGATTGCAGGTGTCCCCAGTGCCTAGTCTGAGATATTTAGGAGGTAAAAAGAAAACTCAGGGAAATCATAACATTCTTATTCCTCAAATCTTTAGGTTGCTAACTCATATAGTTTCTTACCATATTTCAGAGTCCTTTTATTTTTTCTGTTCAGTAATTTCCAGAGTATTTACTTGAATTTAGAGGATGGTAGCATGGAAAAGTAAGTTTACAATATCTTGTTCCAGAGTTTCTGGATATATATTAATGGTGAAACTAACAAGATTTGGTGATGGATTGCATTTTGGATGTGAGTGAAAGAGACTCAAGGGTCATTCCAAGGATTTTATCCTAAGCAACAAAGTTAGTGGTGGCAGCATCTACCAAGAAGGGAGACAATGGAGGAAGACCAGGTTTGGTAGGACTAGGGCTGGGAATTAAGAGTTTGTTAAGTTTGAGATATGTGAGTGATAATGTCTATTACAAAGTTGGATTTACAAATATGTATTTCAAGGATGGAGATATAAATTTGGAAATCATCAGATTATAAGTTGTAAATATAGCTATGAGACTCAGTACAATGACTTAGTGAATAAGTATAGATAGAGAATGAGTCCAAGGACCAGCTCTGGCACATTCCAACATTTCAAGTTCAGGAAGGAAAAGAATCGAGTGAAAGAGATGAGAATGAGTAGCTAGTAAGGTAGGAGGAACATAAGAAGAAATTATTGTCATGAAATCCAAGGGAAGTATTTCCAGAATGAGGGCAAAATCAATTGTCACAAATGTTGCTGAGCAATCAAACTAAATGTGATTTGAGGATTGACTATAGGATTTGACAATATGGAGATTATCAGTGACCTTAGTGAGAGAGATTTCAGTTGGAGGCTTGAAATCAAAGATTGATTGAAGTGTGACAAGAGAGTGACAATATATGGTATGGAGACACAGAGAATAGACAACTCTTTGGAGGAATTTTCTTTTGTTTTAATTTTTAATTTTTGTGGGTACATAGTAGGTATATATAGTAATGAGGTACATGAGATATTTTGATATAGACATGTAAGACATAATAGTCACATCATGGAAAATGGGTCATCCATACCCTCAAGCATTTATCCTTTGTGTTAAAACAATCCAATTATACTTTTTTAGTTAATTTAAAATGTACAATTAAATTATTATTCATTATAGTCACCATTTTTTGCTATCAAATATTAGGGCTCATTCATTCTTTCTTTCTAATTTTTATATCGATGAATCGTCCCCACTTTCCCCAAAAACCCCTACTATCCTTCTTAGCCTCTGATAACCATCCTTCTACTCTATATCTCTACAAGTTCAATTGTTTTGAATTTTAGATCCCACAAATAAGTGAAAACGTGTGATGTTTCTCTTTTTCTTCCTGGCTTATTTCACTTTACATAATGACTGTGTCATGTGATTTGAATGCCAACTCAGTGGCAGTACAAGAGAACACTAGATGGACATCTAAGGTTTTTAACTTCAGTCCCTGACACCGGGATGGCACCTCTGGACTCACCTGGGACCTGAGGGACCTCACTGCCCTGAAGGGAAGGATGCAGGCCTGGCCTGGATTGCTTTGCCACCTTCTGATTAAAGAGCTGCAGGCCTTGGAGTGAACATAGGCAGTAACCAAGGAGTGGTTACATCAGGCCTTGGGTGAGACCTAGTGCTGTACTGGACTCAGGTCTGACCCCGCACAGTCATAGTGGTGGTGGCCACAGGGGTGCTTGTGTCACTCTACTCCCACCTATAAGTGGCTCAGAGCACAGAAAGAGACTCTGTGTAGAGGAAAGAAAGGGAAAAGAACAAGCATCTGCCTGGTAATCCAAAGAATTTTTCTGGGTCTTGTCCAAGACCATCAAGGCAGTACCTCTGTAAGTCTGCAAGAACCACTGTGTTACTGGGCTTGGGTTGCCCACAAACGCAGATACAGATTAGAACACAACACATAAGTACTTTCAAATATCTGGAAAGCCTTCCCAAGAAGGAAAAGAACAAACAAACTCAGACAATGAAGACTACAATAAATCCTTAACTCTTCAATACCCAGACACCAAAGAACATATACTAGCATCAACACTATCCAGGAAAGCATGACCTCACCAGGTGAACTAAATAAGCCACCAGGGGCTAATCCCAATAAACAGAGATACATGCTCTTTCAGACAGAGAATTCAAAATAGCTGTGTTGAGGAAACTCAAAGAAATTGAAGATAACACAGAGTTGGAATGCTGTTTTTCTCTCAGATATATTTAACAAAGCAATTAAAATAATTTTTAAAAATTAAGCAGAAACTCTGGAGCTCAAAAATTCAGTTGACATACTAAAGAATGCATCAGAGTCTCACAACAGCACAACTGACCAAGCAGAAGGAAAAGTAATGAGCTTGAAGACAGGCTATTTGAAAGTACATATTTAGAGGAGACAAAAGAAAAAAAATGAATCACACCTATGGGATCTAAAAAATATCCTCTAAGGGCCAAATCTAGTGACCTTAACGAAGAGGTAGAGAAAGAAAGAGATAGGGGTAGAAAGTTTATTCAAAGAGATAATAACAGACAAGTCTCAAACCTAGAAAAAGATATTAATATCCAAGTACAAGAAGTTTATAGAACACCAAGAAGATTTAACTGAAAGAAGACTAACTTGAGGTATTTAATAATCAAGCTCCCAAAGGTCAAGGATAAAGAAAAAATCCTAAAAGCAGCAAGAGAAAAGAAACAATTAACATACAATGGAATGTAAAAATATGTGGCAGCAGACATTTCAGTGGAAACGTTACAGGCCAGGAGAGAGGGCATGATGTATTA